GAGCTCTCAACGGAGAGTGCTAAGCAAACCTTCGTTTATTCGACAGCACATTCAAGAATAGGTTTCTATAAATTCTCTTCTCTATCCCTCGTCTTTCCCCTTCTATCCTCACCTACCCCCGCGATCTCTGAGATCTCTCGTTCTTACGTTTTACGTTCGGCTGGCCCTACGCTGACCACGCTCCTTCTCACGAGGCTGCCGCGCCTGCAGCTGTACCTCGCTAGGTTCCGGTTTGGAATTTCCGGCTTAAACTAAGAGCTAATAGCACAGCCGGACGCCCTGCTGTACTTTTATCTTCCCTTACCGCTAAACTTACCATTTTCCTGTGTGTTTTCTCCCGACTTCATGACAGATTGCGGGCTGGCCAGCGCTCATGGATGGGATTACCGCGATCGAGCCGCTTCGCACTATCGCTTAAGCACTCTCTGCAAGCTGCTGAGACGTCTATTTGTGCCACCAGCTTGGCTGTATTCAATACCTAGACAGATCGGGATCATTATCCTCTTATCTACAACACGTGGGCGATAAACTTGAGAATTAGGCGTGACTATAGACCGCCACCGAATCGCACAAGGAATTGCAGTCGTGTGAAAAATATCTCCGATTACAGATTAATCCATTACATTTTCTTAAATAAATCGTTGCGACGAAATAGGGCAGCGAAAAACTTATTGCTATCGGAAGAACGTCTTTAAAAATTGAAATTTGATATATTTATTTTGACCTTTTAAAATTGAAATTTTTTAAAATTGGAATTTTTTTCTTTTAATTTACCCTATTTCTGAAAATCTCATTTCTTAACCTTTGACCCTCTTACTATCAACTTATTTAACTCATATTTCCTTGGATTAAGATCCTCTCTTGCCAAGTTATTTTTAATTTCCATGTATTGTATAAAAAGTAAATAAATTCATTTCGGTCGATATAGTTTCGAAGTAAATGTTAACGTATGTATTTAATAAATCAAAAATTAAATTTAAATTTAATACATTTTCAACGGTGTTATTTTTATTCAATTAACGTTAAATTGACATATTGAGTAGGTGCAGCGGTGATTTATAGAAGTAAAAGTTAAAAATAACTCAAATCGAATAAACAATTTATCACATTATAAATTTGACAACCAATAATTCTGTGTAGATATTCCTGTTCCGATGTCTGTTTGCGTTTCTAAAGGAAACTCTTTTCCTTCTCTCGGAACCATTTCAGTATCCGGCTGATATATTTTCAACATATCAAGCTGGCCCGTAGCAACTATTGCCCGATTGCTATTTAAGACGAGCATTGAACGACTCAATCAGTAAGGCGTTAATAGATAATGCGACATCGAAGGCTACTTACAATTGTAGGGGATAAAGTCGTCTCAGCGAGATCAATTCAGCGGGGAAAGGAAGAGAAATGGCTCAAGTTGTCGCTGACAGAAAGAGATGCGCCATCGTGTACTCACCCAGGATCGCGGTCCTGAGAGGCGGATTGAATATTCCAATGCACCAAGAGGCGATCAATAAATAGACGCGATTCCTAGAGAGCTATCCTGCCGGGTCCGGCCCTCCTATCCATTACCGATCCCTATTCAGTCCGAGGACGATGACGATTCCTCGAATGACGAGCCAAATGCACGACACCGCCGTGCTATATTCGCCCGCCTATTAGTATTCAGGCGACGACGTGACGCGCCACGGTAATGACGAGAATGTAAGGCGGGTGCAAGAGGAATAGCGTCGACGCGTGTTAACAATATTCGGGAGGACCACGGTGTGTATATATACGTGTGCTCGATTATTATCACGAAATGGGTTATCGCGGCGTTCGCAAAAATCTGGTTCATCGAACTGCGAAGCAAAGATTGTAGTCTTAGTACACTGTTAAATCTACAGTATCACATTTAACTATTATTAGCCCAATTAGCAATTAGCCCAATTTGAACTGTTTTAAACTGTTCAACTTCATTCTTTTGCTACAATATAAAATAACGATATATCGAGTAGAAGTAATGGAGACTTAAATTAGATTAAATTTGACACTACAGATTTAGCAGTGTACGAAATCTTAAATACGCGATTCTTTATTCATTTTTTTATCTTGGTGTGTTACCTAGGTAATGATTTGATAAATATACAAAATTTTGTAGCTAAACTTTCTTGTCAGTCCCTTATATCAACGAACGGGGCAGTCTATAAACAGTCAGCGAAAATTAAAATTGCAGAAATCGAAAACTGTCTTGATTGCGGCAACTGGATCTGACGGCGCGACCGACTTCATGATCATTGAAATTGTGCATATTTCATACCTTTTAAGGAACGCTGATTGCCAGACGACCCGAATTCTTTTCCTTGAACGACCAAACTTTTCAGAGTAGATTGACTCCACGTTCCGACGTGAGACGACAGTTCAAGGTTTCTTTCATCCGCCAACGGAAGCGTCTCGGTAAACTTGCCCGCGGTCAGAGCTTTCCTCCGCTCTCTTAATACAAAATGATCCAGGAGATTCAAGTATTCCGTTTCCAGCTTCGTGGACACCGACGGCGAATACGTGCCAGTATCACTATTATTGAAAAAATCCAGAAGATCGTCACCGACGTTATTCCCTTGTCTCGTCCTGGAGTCCGGCGTGTTTAATTGAATATAATTCAACACCACTTCGCCCGGCGGATAATTTGCACCATATCGCTCCCTCAGACTCTCCTCGAGGCTCTTGTAACGATAGGAATTGTAATTGCACGTTATGTCCACCACTGGCAGTTCGATTCGCGTCGCCACGAAGGACGACGAGTGTTGTGCCAGCGGGATCGTTTTTCTAACCGGCTGCGGCTGCTGCTGCTGCTGCTGGCCAACGGATGCGACACGTGACACGATGGGTGACGAGAGGACGATCCTTGTCGGGCATATCATCATCCTGGATTCAGAATTGGAGTTTAATAGGTCCGGTACCTTGGGGTAGTATTGTACTAGGTTGTGCCTGCACCGGGCGTCGCTGTCGTTCGTACTTTCCGTCGAGTGGCCTCGTAACGTCGCAAATAACTTCCAGGGCTGCTGCAGCTGCAAATTCCAAATTCTAAGGCTGCGTTCAATAGAAAAAGCAGTTTTGCCATTGTTGTCGGAGATTTTTTAAAACTCCTAATTGGTGATCACTCACTATGGATCTTCAGATTAGTGACGTCAAAAAAGGAGAAAACACATAATAAAAATTCATACAAAAAATATATTAAAATAGAAATTCTTTACAATAAAACAGTATTTGCATTTAATGAAGTATATATTGTAAAATATATCAAATATATTTTATATATATATATATATATATTGTAAAATATACCGAAAATTCTCCTTTTATTTCGGAATAGAATAAAATTGTATTTATCTCAATTCGACAACTACCAGAGCTTGTCCCGGCTAATTAAGCATAATCCGTACAATTCAATTTGAAAACATAAATATAGTTATTTATTAATTACTGAAAACATAAGGTAAGTTTTCGGTATATTGTATAAATCCATGTTATCGATTGCAAATGTTATTTTTATTAAAAAATACACATTGTAATATATCAATTTTTCTCTCTTATTTGCGTTTAAAACTATATTATTTAAAATTCGTTTTCGATCTATTTCATTTAATACATTTTAATATAGTTTGCGAGAATTTTCTTTATGTATTTTCCTCGTTTATGCACTGTTAAATTCATAATGTCAAATTATATTCAATTTGAATTATTTTTAATCGTTTCTATAGAACGTCCCGGTTTTTCTCAATATATACTCGTTAATTTAACTAAAATAAAAGAATTACGCAGTTTAATTCAACAGAAAGATATTAAATTTGGCTTGAATTGAATTTTGTTTATTATTTAGTAAATATATACCTTAATGTTGTTTAGCTTTGAAGCTAACCAGAAATGGATTTATATAATATATATTTTGACACATATGGAAGTTAAAAATAATGAAATGTTTAACTTAAAAGATTAGGATTGCCATTGCTTAATTCTTTGATATCTAACAGAGCGACGTCACAATTTAAGATGATTGCAGTGAATAGGCAGGAATCTTAATATATGATTGGTTTTCTCGTCTTTTTAATTTCTCTCTGGATTTAAATATAAAACAATCATATTAACATCTTCCATGCCGAGTCAATTTTAAATTAACAGCGTGGTTCACTGGTACTGGGTCATTTATTAAATAATATTTCATTAGTATTAAAAAATTCCAAAAATTATTATTATAAAGAAGAATTGGCATAATGTATTACTGTTGCATCATAATTATGTTATATCATAATTATGTTATATAGTCACACATAATTGTTTTATAATTACGTTTCTTTTTGTAGTAAAAATATGAAATGGTCTGAATGAAAAATCCAGCATGGGTCAACTCGGATACGAACGTGTTAAAGAATCTTACAACAGTTAGAAAGCCGCTTTTTCTGCTAAATGTGCAGCCAACGTCGGGTAAAGCACGCGTAAAAAATAAATGTTTCGAGAGGCGGAAACAGGATGAAGTGAAACAAAGTGTGAACCGTGCTCTTACACTTTAACTTCAATATTACCGAGAGACACGGTCAAGATGATTAATGAAAGCGCATGACACTTTTTTTTTTCAATTAGTTGCCCGCCTTTAATGCATCGTGTCCTTTTACACACACGGGGGAATTTGTTTCCCCGGTATTTAACCTACATACCCGCGGGCGCAATAAATCATTACTGCCCTTAGACGAAAACAATTCGTAGGTGCAATTTACGATCAATTAATCTTGATCACGTACGACAAGCGTCTGCAGTTGTACGAGCAGCGGTAACATCAGGATCAAGCCCAAAATTATAGCGGAAACGCTTTCCATAGTTGTAGCTACCAAGAAATCTTGTTGCTCGCGAGATACGGGTCGGATGGATCGTTTGCGTTACCAAGCCATCTCAAAGCGCATTGCTGGCGTGCGTATGGAACCGTCATCGTAGCGTTAATTTAGATTTGTGTGACACGAGTCACGATTGGAAAACCCAGGCATGTTGAATTTTTAGCGCACTGTGAAGTGCGACAAATTTTCGGCATGTCGTGAACTAAGTGGTAAACGACTGTCGATCGTTCGGAAAACTATTGCATTGTTATACAGACGTATAAACTGGCTATATTTCAAAATTTATTGCCAGTGCGAAAATCTATGGTGTACCTAACGTAAACTATAAATTTTCAGCGATAGCAGTGATTTTAAGAACACAGCTTATTTATATCGCCGTATTGATAGAAAAGTGACACCAGTAAAAAATTGACATTTTTTAAATAATAAAAAAAAATTTACCGCCTAAATATTGATATATATATTTAATAAATATATATTAAATGTAACATTTATAGCTCTTCCAATTTACAAATAAAGAGCGATATTTTTAAATCTAAAATTTAAAAATATAACACTTTTCTACAAATAGTTTAATAAATTGTTTAATAAATTTTGAAATACACGGGAAAGTATTACAACTCTGATAAGGGATAAAATTTACAGTAATACGATATTTTAAGGAATATATTATGACTGATAATAGATTTTCTTCTTGTCAATGTAAGCTGAAGTAAGTAAATAAGTTCTATTTTATATAATTGACAGTATAACATGAAAAAAACAGTATAAAGTTATGCACATTTATCATTAAAACATTGTTAGACTTTTTAAAAATAAAAGGTCGCTAATTTTTAGATGTCATTTTTCTATCAACACTACAATATAAATGCTTTTACATATTACTGTATAATACCGTTAATGTAATTAAACCGAATTTAGAACCGAACACTATGGAAATACATTGATTGATCCAGGTTGTCACGCCGCAGTGAAAACCACGAAATCCCCTTCTCCAATCGTTTCCTACAAACCAAATCGCGAACGGCCCGTGCCGCTATTCTCTCTGTAATTTGGGATTCCGAGATTCCGCGGGAATTTGGGATTTCATTATACCATAATAATTCACAGGATTCGGCACACCGGAAGAATGGAATAACGAGCGCGGTGTCTCTGTATAATAGGATGCAATTTAGACGCGGTCGAGACAGACAACGCGTCCTGCGAAACATAAATCATGGCACGGCACTAGCCCCATGGAGGGGTTACACGTGGGCGGTCTGGCATGAGGAAAGTGGAGGGTAGAAGTGCATATCTTAATTACAATATTCCCACGGGCGGAACACACAGGGATCCTTGCCCGCGCTTCGCCGACCACCATCTACCTTGCACGGCCTCGGGTACATCCCTCCTTACGCCCCTTAGACTTACCCTGGCAGCTTGTAGGAATTTAATTAATTTGCCAGTGGCGAGCAGGCTTGCTCCTTGTCGCCACTCTGAAATATCGTATCCTTCCCACCCTTTAAAATCCGAGCCAGCCATCGTGCCAGCGCCCCGCCCGTGTCGCCTTTGCCATAGCACTTGCAATCCGCGTGCGATTACCGCGCTTCATTGCCCTTTATCTCTCGTTCACCTTTTCTTTATTCTTTAATAGATACGCCTTGTGCTGAGTTACAGATCAGGATATACGTTCGCGGCTTTATTAGTTACGACCGGAAGTGCCGAAACGCGAGGAAACGGTTGAGCAAGCCGAAACTTTCGCTATCTGTGTATCATTCGCCGGCCTCTCGGCACGAATAATAAAGGTAAGTTCGCGCGCGAGAGAAAGAGAAGTTTTCGAGATTTTGCAGAAAATACCGAAATACTTGAGAAACTCGGAACTTTCTTTCCCGGAAGACTCCACGGGAATATGCCACACGATCGACAAAGCGGAAATACTCCCGGCGGCACACGGATGGTGCTGGCGGATACCAAAAATCTTTTGAGCTAAAGAAACGCTAAATTTATTTTATGTGTATACGGAAAGAACAATTTTTTTGAAATCAAAATTTACTAGATACAGATCTGAAGATAATTTTGTTGGATCATTAAAGTAATTATATAGGAAACTCAAACATGATACTGCAAAAAGGTTTGATATTCTAGCAATCAGTTCTCTCTAATGTCTAATTATATATTTATTTCATTTTTAATAAGTACGATATCATACAAGAACTAATCGTATTTCATTACGTAAATTAACAAAGTGTCTTATAAGATCATATCATGAATACACAACATAATGAGTAATGAAAGCCTCAATCTGAACTGGATCTTAATGTTTAAATAATATTTCGGTGTGAATAATATATGTTACGTTCAGTTCTGCAATTTGCACACCAAAATCATTTTCAGTCTGGAAACGCAATATTCCGAACTGAAATAGTAATGTAGTAAATTAAACTGATGAGCAATTTAATAATGCAGTAAGCATCTTAAGAAGCTGTAAATAATTTATTGCCAAAAATATTACTCCAACCAGGATTCGAATTTGGATCCTCCTAATATTCCGTAACAGCTGTCATTACGCAAATTCTTTGATTTGAAGTTAGTATCTTCTTAACAAAAATTTTTTCAAGTTCTGCATGAATGTATAATTTTTCGAGAGCTTAAAAAATCCGCATTGAGTGTCCATATATTATTATTTTGATTCTATGAGTTGAACAAAATTATTTTTACAGATTTTTAGCTGCATTTATATACTTCAGTAAAACTGTTCTTTCCGTACACAATTATAAATTACAATATCATTCAAGAATATCAAGAAATTTCCCAATATACTATTAAATTGTCACCTGGAAAAAATTAGTTTTGACTTAAAAAGGCAATAATATAAATATCTTATAGTACGTTACAACAACATTGTTTGAATGTTTTTCCATTAGAATTTCCCGGATTCTCTACATCAGTTAACACACGTATGTTTCCGGATGTTTGGGGTGCCTCTGAAGTTCAAAGTTTCATCGAGTACCCGGATTTACCACAACTTGCTGATTCCTGGCAAGTTTTGGGTCTTGCTCTTCGATGGCGATAATCAGATGATTAAGAACTGTTGCATCGTGAGATGAAATTTCAAACCGCGTTTATACCGAATCTTGCGATATTCCTGAGCACGCATTGTCGGTCTTACTGATAAACTAGGATAACAAAATCAATATTTATATTTTAATTGCGATACATTAATTAACTAGAAATGATTGAAAGATCTTGGAAAGATTGACCTAAAGTTTTGCAGTTAGAACGCTCCTCAATAGCATTTAAGGGAATTAATTTCCAACCGAAGACGACGCGACGTCGCGATATATATAAAGACCAGCGGACTAATCGATACTGCTTGTTAGTTCTACCTCTACATCAGTAGGTACATATTTACTTGTGTATGACTTCGTGCTTGATGCACCCTTGGTATCGCGATATGGTATTGCGCTACTATACGCCTAAATTACCATGTACATGTTTAAGCTTCGTCGGATAGCATTGCGCGATATTGGAAATTACATTGATGCGATTCATGTTGATGGAATATATAAACCCAAGTTCTATCACCTTCAATAGAATATATTACATGACGTTACATTTTCGCGGAATACGACTGCGGAAGCAGCTGCGGTTGCAACGATGCTGAAAGTATGAGAGACTACGAGATGTATAATATCTTCAATCCTTTAAACGTTTTCTAAACACTGTATAATTTATAACGTACGTTTAATTCTCCGTCTGCAATCTATTTCTTTTTACTGTTCTAGGCTTTCAAAAAATGTGGAAAAATTCAGGATTGCACTTTAACATCTCCATATTACATTACCACAATCCATTTTTGATAAGACATTTTAAGAGATGAAATCGGACTCCGCTCTTTTTTATTTCGGAAAAGTTTGACAAAATTGAGAGTGATATTTTATTTCATCGAAAAAAAGAACTCTAATTATAAATGGAGAATTAAAAAGCATTATGCGTTGCATAATCCCAAGCAGAACAAACAGTTACGATGACATCAAAATGATTTTAAAACTTCTACGTTTAATTTTGTAAGATAATTGACGTTCATAAAGACAATAACGAGGGTTTAATTACGAATATCTTGGCAACGCAAGAAATTATTCATCAGATCTTGGTCAAAACTATTGGCGCGAGGAATTTTGCTGAATAATTCATCATCGTTGCGCCGATCCGAGATTGCGGAGGGATTAGGTCAACATTTATAGTCGTTAGAATGGCCCGGCGATGTTACGACGACCGATCGAAAAAAAAAAATAATCGTTTAACTAAGAAATGTGTGGCGGACGCGCTGACGGAACTGGGCTTAAGAAGATAGCAGACACGGAGGACGCATGGACCGACGAAAGATGGATGGTGGCAGAAAAAAGCAACTAAGCAGCGGCGTCTGCCGTTGAAAAGCTAAGGATCTCGACTCGACTGAGCGCGAATGCTCGTAAAAAAGCCCCGCGGAAATCCTTTGGTCGCGCCATTAACGGTGATTTTTCCTAAGCCCCACTGATCTTCTTCCCTCGTATTCTCTCGTCGATGTCAACTTCATTTCGACTTATCAAGCCGTCATTCATCGATTACTTGAGACTGTCGAGACGCGGTTTACCTTGCGCGTCAAAGTTCCACATTTACCCCCCCCCCTCCCCCCGCGTTTATTCAGCGGTAAATTTCGGTCTTTTATTCTATACTTCAATTCTGACCAGATCTACAGTGTCACCACATTTTTATAAATAATGCCCTAAGTAATAAACTTTGTAACTTTAAGTTTAGAAATCAATAGAACAACACTTTGACGAATCGCGTTAAGTTTTAAATTTAAATATCGATTATTAATTAAATTATTGTATAAAATATAAAATATAATGGGGCTTCAATACTATCTTCTCCTTTACACGTCATCATAAAAATAATTCTGTTTGGAACATCAGAATAATTTATACAGGCTGGTCATCGGTTGCTGGAATATTAAAGCTTTTTTGCAACATTGTTTAAGCATTCCACATAACTATTTTCATGATACAACAAAATTATTTTCAGATCTACAATTATATTTTTTAATATTTCAGCGAAAAACTATTTTTTTCCATATAACGATATTCTCTCTGTATACATAATCTACATTTCTCAAATATACATACCTTCTTCTACATTTGAAATATTTCTTGTATATTTTATATTTTAAACG